CTCCCTTTCTTTCACCAGCCCTCATGTGAAGTGCCTAGCTGATGGCAGTCCTGCTCAGCCTCAGAGAAAGGCGACCCCAGCCAGCATTTCTGTACTTTGTGTCCTGTGTCAGCAATAACTCTGAGTAACTAATGCATTCAGGAAAATCAGGGTCTGTTCATGGACCATTTGCAAACATAAAGAGATGCCAAAACCCAATGGATAACTGAGCTGTTATGAATGATTATCCCCACCTCTTCTGTTTCCAGCTCAGTGACTGTAGGCAGCCAGTCAAGCCAATGCACACCCCAGAAACATCAGACAAGGCACTTCTGACCTCGTTCTTCCTGTGACCTTACAGCACTGCCATGCAGAATGAATGTGTGCCTACAGGTATCTATCTTGGCTTAACTTCAAGAACAGCTCAGTCAGTAGTTCACAACTTCACACCCATCTGGCTGTTAGATCTACGAGGGAACTGTTGATGTCAGAGCTAGAACATTGCCAAGCTGTAACAAAAGCTGCATGGCACAAGTGCCTATGGGACCTTTTTCATGGCCCTGATAGAAATCACTGCAGTTGTCTTCTCTTCCATTTGCTCAAGTAATGTCACAGTACTTGTGGTGCCACCACAGCCAGAAGCACTGCTGAGGAAGAAGGTCTATTGCTCAACTATACTATTAGACACAGCTCCCAGAAACATACAGACTAAGGTTCTATCTCCATAGCATACTGGAAAATAGACAGATTTTTGTGCACCCTCTTGGTCCTTCCTTTTCAAAAGCAGTGGGAAAGACAGAGCCTCAGTTAGCACAGAATTAATCCGGGCTCAAAGGCAAGGTAATTTAAAGGGGTTTCTGCCCTGTAGTATGACTGTATTGCTCCCTCTCAACTTAAAGCCTGGTAGCCATCCACAAGTACACTGCATTGACAGAATATTTGATAAGAAAAAGAAAAAAGGAAAAAAAAAAAAGGAAGAAGGGGAAGATATAAGAATGAATGTGGTTTATGAGTCAATTTATGATGTATCATGAGGGCTGATGCACAAAATCTGTGTTTGGACATCTCTCCACATTCCTGTTCCATTGGTGCCACAGAAGAAATGCTCCCGAGGGATTTGGCATAACAACATATGATCTTCCATGTCAGTGTAGGAAGGTCTTTTCATTCTGTGGGAGCAAAGAGAAAGAAAAGCTATGAGAAGAACAAAATCTCTACTATGCTGGAATTCTTGTTCTCAGTTTTACCAAACACTAAGTCATTATGAAAAGAATAAAATGTGACAAGAAATTCTACATTTGTCCCTGTATTCAGACCTTGAAAGTCATATTGATGCTCATGCTTTCCTAGGTAGAGTAATTAAGGATGTGCACTGACTCTTAGCCCCAAGATTAAGAGATGTTTTCTAAATGTTTTCTTATTTTTCCCACTGGGCCCATTGCTCTAACTTAAAATACATCCTCAAAGCACTTTTCCCTCTTATGGATGTTTCCAGCCAGCTTCTCAGTCTATGAAATTTAGGGATTTGATCCGATCTGAACCTTTACATAAACCTTTTGAGACTTGCCCATCACTGCTTACATTGCTGTTTCTCAAAAATAACCTCAAGGCTATGTAATTAATCGTTCCTTGTTTTAATCTCCAAACCCAGGTAGATTAATGCCTACGCTGACCACAGATCAGTGTTTTCTGGAGTCTTCTGCAGAGCAGCACATCTGTAGTTACAAGTTCTGAGTTTCCTTAGAAGGAAAGAAAGAAAGAATGAATGAACAAAAGAAGGAAAGAATAAACATGTTCTCAGGAGGAACTTTTCAGGGATTAATTCACAAGCAAAGGAAAACATGCTGTTCTCAGCAACCAAACAATGTACTTTACGCTGCCACAGGGATTGATAACACGCTACAGCTAGAGCATATTTAAAGGGCTCCATTACTGTTAGGCCAAAAGCTGACCCACTTTAAATCCTTACAATATGGCGAGAAATGCTCTAACAACTTTTTCAACCTTGAAGAAACAAAGGTAAGCTGTGGAATTGCCACCAATGTTTTTCTCCACAAGAAAGCCATCATTGTGAAGAGCACCCAAAAAATATGGCAGAGGTTTAGCAGGGCAGCACTCGTTAAAATCCTAAGGCTCTAGAGCAAGCAGAAGAAAAATTTACAAAAGTCAAGGCAGAAGGGAACTGTAAGTTATCCTGTTGCTAAACGTTATGCACACAGCAGTGTAGAAGAGGAAGGATTTTTTCCCAGCCCAAATTAAATCTCTCAGGTGAAGTTCTGTCTTTCTTCTGACTTCAAGTGATATAAATACAGAGCTGGAAAATGAGTTTTGTCTGCCTATTGTGTCTAAGAGAGGTAGTAAAATCCTTCTAGAAACAATGAGATAATGTGACAATGTTGATGTCTATAAGCATTCAGGAGCGGAAAGACAACATCCTCAGTTCCGTATCTCAGTATCCGTATGTTGAGTTGAGCAAGGGGAAAACTGTGAACCTGAAGTACTCAGCCAATGAGGAACCGGGGAGGGAAAGAGAAGCATCAGGTAACAGGGCATAAAAGATGTGACCCTGTTACTGCAGGTGCCCTTCTGCTTGCAGGACGCCTAGCACTACAACTGCAAATAAATCTGCTTTTATCAGAGATACCATCCTGATACATTACCTGGATATTTCCAACAGTGCTAAGCAAAATAGACTTGGTCTGATGTTTAGCATACTTGACTGAACAACACTTGCTTTCACAAAACCAACTAATGCTAAGCAAAACACACACTGGCTCTGCTGATAAGCAAAACATCCTTCAGCTACTCAAGAAGCCCAGTATATCACTGTTAACTAAGTCAGTGTGGAGGCCCTGTCCAGTAGATCACCCTGAAACTACCAACCTGGAGCATCTCAGTGTGCTCTGGGGTGTCCTATAGGCCTCCCCTTGAGCTCTAAACGACTCCCAAGATACCCTGCTGTACTCTAGGCCACACTAGAGTTCTCCTAAAGCTCTTACTGTCTGCTACAGTGGTCCAGTGTCCTCCCAGTACAAACTGGAGGCTTCCCAGTGCTACCTGCTGTTTTGTAGGGCACCCTGGAGTCCTCCTAGTGCTCCTCTGTCTGCTCCAGGGTGCCTTAAGATGCTTGCAAAATGCTTTCACTGTGTTCTGGGGAACATTAAGAGCACTCCCAGAGCTCCTCAGTGGTTACTTGGCTGCTCTTTAGGTTGCACAGCGTGCCCTAGAAGCTTCCAGGAATATTGCACTGCACCTGAGCACACTCTGAAATACTCCCAGATCTTCCTGGGCCACCCTAGCAGCCTACTTGTGAAACCTGCAAGCTTCCTAGGGACTCTCAATTTCTAAGGCACCCTGGATTACTCTCCAAGTCCCCCTCGTTGATGGAGGGCACCCTAGTCACTTCCCAGAGTGCCAAATCACAGAATCCCCCTGCTGGAGCAGGAACACCCACATCTGGTCACACAGCAACGCATCCAGGCACGTTTTGGATGGCTCCAGAGGAGACCCCACAACCCCTCTGGGCAGCCCATTCCAGTGCTCTCTCACCCTCACTGTGAAGTTTTTTCCCACACTGAGGTGGAACCTCCTCTGTTCCCTCTTGCACTCATTGCCCTTGTCCTACTACTGCATGTCACTGAGAAGAGCCTGGCTCCATCCTCCTGCCACGCACCCTTCACATAGTTACAAACTGTGATGAGGTCACCCTCCAGTCACCTCCAAACTCAAGAGCCTCCAAGAACCCCCCAGTGTACTGCAGCTCACAACAGCATCCTATCAAAACTCCTCAGTGCCCTCCAGGATGCCCAAGAAGTTTCCAGGTTAATTCAAGATGCTTCCCAGGGCCACCCTAAAGTACTCCCTGCGCCAGTCTGTGTCCTCTTTTGAGAGCACCTGCCTTCAGCCTGAGAATTTTGGTCTTTTGCCCCTTTTGACATGGCGATCTTTTGAACTTGGATCCTGCACCCTTACACATGGGGCAAGGAACAGTAAGCCTAACAGTTACCGACTGAAAAAACAGTCGAGGGACCGCAGAACAGGAGGGAAAACAGGCTTGGCTGCAGGGAATGCATACAGATACAATAATAAAACAAATAAAAAACAGCAAGCAGAGCAGAGGGACAGAAAAAAAAAACAGAGATGAATGGTTCCTCTATTTACAGCTATGAAATTTAACTTCAGCAGAAACTCAAAGGCTTACAGACTTTGCAGGAAGGCTGAAGGACCATCATCCCATCTGTCTATGTCAGTAAGTTTTCCTGCAGCAGAGGGTCTGAGAACAAGGAAGGGAAAGTGACACTGTGGACACATCAGGGATAAAGCAAAGAAGGACAAGAGAATGGAAAAACTGCCTTTGGTAGGGGCAGCTGGAATAGTGGGGATGTCCCTGCAGGCTGTGTCCCACTCTGTCCTTTGGGAGCTGGCGCTTCTTGGGTCTCACTCTTCTTTCCTTTGCTGGTGGAGAAGAAAGAAAGGCCTGCTGTGGAGCCACAAGGCAGGAGAGATGCAGAAGAGAAGAGGAAGAGAGAAAAAAGGAAAAGCAGCTTGGCTATAGAAACCCTTCACCTGTCAGCAGGGCTGTGGACCCAGCTAGTTTGGGCTGGGTGATGGCCCTGTGAGCAGGGCTGGGTCTTTGTGCTTTCTGGTCTTTTGGCCTGCTGCTCTTCTGGCTGCAGAGCATGGGCATGATGGAAGGAGGCTGAGAGGCAGCATCTCCACCTCTGAGGGAGAAATAGAGCCTGATGGACCATGAGGACCCCCTGTAAACAAGGGAGGGCCATTGCCGCACACCCACTCCCACAGCCTCAGCACTTCCCTCCTGCTGGGCAGCCCAGTCAGCACTAGTATCCTCCCGGTAACAACAAAGAGCTATAGATTGGAGCTAAGCTGCGGGCAAGAAAAAGCATAGCTTGTCATATCATGACTGCTAAGAGAGGTAAAGGGTGTGACTGCCTCCTCCAGCTGCTACGGCCTGAGATCACTCCTGAGCAGCCACTGGCTAGCAGTCCAAAGGCTGGGGACCCAGGGTCTGTTCTCAGGCTGGAGGACACTGCTGCCACTCTCCTGTTTGCAGATTCAACCAGAGATGAAACTCAGCATGTATCCCAGAGACACACACACAGGATGCTGACACAGTCAGTCACACAGACTGCCACAGACAAGAGGCTGCCTTCACCAGCACCTACACACAGCAATCCTGCACAACAAACACACTCCAGTCCTTTTCCTCCCCTTTGGCTTGCAGAGACAGAAGCTCACCAGTGCAGCACACACACAGCACTCAAGCTGCAGAAGCACACATGCAAGCACTGATACAGCCTCTCTGTCCAACAGCACCCCTGCTTGGATCCCTTAAGGAGCAGCACAGCAGTGCCTCTATCCAACACCCCTAGGCAGATCTCAGGCCTTACACAGGATGGCTAAAATCGGAAGGGTCCACTGGAGATCATCACCTATGTGGCTGCAAGTAAAATGTCCCCGACTCCAGAGCTGGCACCAAATTTTTGCTCACATACACAGGTCTCACCAGTCCTTGCAGCAATACGTACACATGGGGCAGAGTGTGTGAAGATACTGAGTGAGTACAGATTTAATAAGAAGTGATAAGCAGACAGACTGTGGTCAACAGACGCAGATGCCAGACAAGCCCTGACCAGCTCTATTTTACACAACTTTCATAGCCTTGATTTTCCAGCACCTTCACTCTGTTCATCCCTGGTTCCCCTTTTCTTTGTGCATCTCACCATGGATTGCAGCCTCTACTGAGTCCCACACTGTCCCAGATTATCAGGGATTTGTTTCTTGTCATTGTCTTTATGTTTGTTTGGTCAGGTCTATGTTATCGTTTATTTTGGTTTCTGCCTTCCCCTTTTTCCTTTAGTTTCCCACTCAACAAAGTCCCTAGCAGATAACCTTGCTGGAATAAACACTCTCACACACTTACATCCCCCCCCATCAGTAACTGTGACTGACCAGGCAGCTTCCCATTACAGCCTTGCTTATCATTTGCTGGTCAGGTCTGTATCTCTCTATGCTCCTCCTTATGTCCTCCTCCCTTTCCTATTTCCCTTGTTACACTGTAAAACAGTCTTTGACCAAATATCCTTCAGGGAGCAGACACTCTCCTTCCATACCCCCTCACAAAGGCCTTTAGAAACATTCAAGAATGACCAATGACACATCCTGCTTCACATTCAGTTACGCTTGGTTGCATCTTTCCAATGGCTTCTTGACTCAGTGACTTCACTTGACCTACAAGTCAGCCCTGTGCAAACTTACATCACTTCTGAACACAGCACTGTTCCTTGCTTCACCTCTAAGGCTGGATGTGGCTCTGGGCAGCCTGGTCTGCTGGCTGGCAACCCTGCACATAGCGGGGGGCTGAAACTACATGATCATTGTGGTCCTTTTCAACCCAGGCCATTCTAGGATCTTATGATTCTATGATTCTAAGGCCTACAAAGCTAGTTCTGGAAAACACTGTTTGCAACAACACAAAAAAGGACTACAAAAAAAAAAAAATAATCAGCTCTTCTTATGCTGATTCTTATTCTCTATCCAACAGATAGAGATTCTTATTCTCTATCCAACAGCCATTTGTCCGGGAACCTCAGCCACAACACTGCCAAAGCTGCATTTCATGGGGATCTTCGTCCTCCTACCACCAGGGCTGGGCTGTCTGAGAGACACAGCACAGTATGCTGCAGTCGCTCATCTCCAGAGACAGAAGATACCACAGGTCACACTGTTCTTTCTCCTGAGACCTTCCAACCTTCACATCTCTCTGCCTGCCAGTGCAATTGCGCTGTGACATCACTCACTGACAGACATTTCACTGCCAGCACAAACACATCTCCCTTACCCCTGCCATCAGCATCCCACTTGAAACACTTCCCCACCTGTATCAGCATTTCCTCTTTCACACAGCTGCTGTGCCAGGACCTGCAGACTCCACAAGAACAGGAGAACTCCGCAGACGACAGTGATTCCGTTCTCCGCCCCAGAGCCTCCAGTGCTCAGCATCACACTGGGTGTTGTAAGAGCGGAGTGCTGACCGTCACGTCTCAAGCCAAGAGCTTCAGACTGAGCTGCAGTGCCAATGCACTGACACTGCCAGCCAACCTGATGGGGCCACGAGGAGGAGGAACTGCAAGCCAACCAGGACCACAACAACCTGAATTTCAAGCAAACAAGAACCAACACTTACACTTCTTAGCTCCAAAAACGAAACCAACAATTGCAAAGGAACCTGATGCAGCCATCTGACAATCTGACATGCCCTGGAAATCAGTCTGCAGCACTTTCAACTGCCCTACACCAACTTCCAGCTTCTGCTTGCCGCTCCCTAAAGGAAGCAAGCAGCCAAAAGCAGGAATTTGTCGGGCTGGCTTCACCTGGCAATGAGCAGTCCTTAGTGAATGAGAATGGAAAAAGCCAACTGGATATTACCAACTCACCTGTTCCCTCTAGTGTTTTACTGTCTCCTCAAATCTATCAGAGGAGCCTGTGTGAGATAAAAGAATACTACAAAAACCAGTCAGCATGTACCTGTCACAGTGGATAAGAATGGAGTCCAGGAGGGCTCCATGCCCTCTGATGCAGTCAAGGCAAAGTCAGGAGAACACCTCAGATGCCATTCCTGTATCAAGACAAAAAGAAGAAACAAAAACAAGCACGAGCTCTCAAAATCTCAGACCAAAAGCTACTAACAAATGGCCAGAGCAAACAAGGCACAAATGAAACTGGCTCCACAGTATTTCCAGCAATGGCCAAAATCAGAAGCCTAAAACTGCATCTGAGAAAGAACAAGTCTGTACAATCTCTCCTAACTCTCAGAAATACACAGCCCAGGGATTCCCTGCTCCATCAAATAGCTCTGGGTGGTTTTCTCATTCATGAGCCATCCAGCTGCTCTTTAAACTCACACACACATTCTACAGCAACGAGTTCCACAGCTGTACTGTAAGCTGCATGATGAATGCTCTTCTTCGGAAGCAGCTTCCCTTTTTGCTGCCAGCTGTGATCATACAAAGGGCTGAAGGCTGTATACCAGAGGGATGAAGATTCCCCAGAGGTCACGAAAGATGACTGACCCTACAGAAACCAGAAGTGTTCAAAGATACAGCCCGGCCTCTGCTGTCTGACCATACCTAACCATGATTTCCAGTCTCACTGTGCAATCTCTCAGAGGCAAACAGCACAAGCAGAGCCCTGCACAAGGCGCCAGTAGCAATACTAGAGGTCACCTGGCTTTGGTGGACGTTGAGGAATTGAGTGTGTTCACTACCAGGGGACTGAATAGATTCACCCCGCTGTGTGACAAGGAGGCATGAACAAGAAATTTAAAGTGCAAAGGAATAACAGCATCAACATCACAAGCCCAAATTTCATCTTAGGTGAAAATGAATCTTTTGCAAAATGGCATTAAATGTAAATACTGGAAATTTAAGAGTTTGCTTTCTCACTATAAGAGACATTTCCTTCCTCTACAATACTTGCTGTGAACACTGCTACACCACTGTGCTCATCTCCAGAATTTCAGCTAACGATTTTGTTCACGATGCCTGGTGGCAAAGCAAACACAACCACATTCAACTGTTCTCATACTGCAGGCTGTTACACTTCTAGAATTAGAAACAGAGAACCACAAGGTAGAAAGAGAAACATCCAGTGATTATCTTACACAACACTTACCTCAAAGTTACTCATTGTCCCTGCTTTATCTTCAATCCTACATTTCTGACACTTGCAAAATTGCCAGCAGTTAACATGAAAAATGGCACAGAATATACAGTCACAGCTAAAACTCAGTCATTATTACAGGAATGGCCACATTTAAAAAAAAGAAGGAACAAAATATCTGTTGAATATAGCTAGAAAACCCTACTCAACAATGACAAAACACTAACAGCCCAGGGAAATGCAAGAGCAGCATACGCTCCCTCCAGAAATGCTCCCACACATCTGCAGGTCAGGAACCTCACACCAGGCATACTTTCCAAGTATTCAAGGAATCCTCAATGCATTTCTGCACTGAAAGAATTGCAACTGGAGCACTTGCAAATTTTCAGGGTCAGCAATAGCCTTCACAACAGCAGCTACTTTGCAGTGCTGAGATTGCCTCCCTAACATATCTCTCACTGAGCAAGGAACACCAATCTTCTCTTACACAGAAGAGTCTTCTTTCAGTGCTGACAAGGATTACCTCATGTTCATCAGAAGGCTCCAGAGCCTGCACTCTGTGTTGCTCATCTTCTGCAATACAACAGGTGAAACACTCGCTCACATCTAAAACAGAAATCCCTCAAGATGATTCCTTCTGGAAGAAAAGACTCACTTCCCACAACACAACAAAGACCCTCCATGAAGCATCTGCATGGGGGGTCTTTAAAACTGCCTAGCTGGAAAGAAGCAGAAGCTCAAAGTCTGATGAGATGTCTTGCCTAAACATTTCTACAGAATACCTAAGATGAAAAGCCTCAGAGGAACCCATACGTTGCCTTATCCCACACCAGCAAACAGGCTGCTTCTTGGCGAGGGACCTTCAGATGACTAGCCACATCAGCAGAGCAGGCAGCAGCTCTGCCTCGGCCCTTTTTGCTTCAACCCAGCTGGCCCAGCTGGCCACTTCTAAAATTACCTGCAGGTACCCCTTCTGCAGGTGTTTCAGTTTCCCATGGCTCTGAGGGCTGCAGGTACTCACT